TGACATGCTGTTTTCCTACTATGGGAAGATTCGATTGTGTTTTGTACCCTGTATTATGTTTCAGATCCTCATTTTTGCCGTACCTGAGTACCTGAAATTTATCACTGTTAAACATCATGTTATTTTCTGCTGCCCAATCAAAAACTTTGTTGACATCTGCTTGTAGTTTTTCAATGTCTTCAGCAGAGGTAATTTTCATGCTGATTTTTGTGTCATCTGCAAAGGACGACACGAAGCTGTGGCGTGTATTTTTGTCTATATCAGATATGAGAATAAGGAACAGTAGCGGTGCAAGGACTGTACCTCGAGGTACAGAGCTTTTAACATCGCTTGGACTCGATTTTATCTGATTGACTGTTACTCTTTGTGTTCTGTTCGACAGGAAATTGAGTATCCAGCGTCCTACTTTTCCAGTTATTCCCATTGACCTCATTTTGTGAGCTATCACCCCATGGTCACATTTGTCGAACGCCTTTGCAAAGTCTGTGTATACAACATCTGCATTTTGCTTTTCTTCTAGGGCTTCTGTGATTTTGTCATAGTGGTTGAGTAACTGTGACAGACAGGATCTTCCCGCTCTAAATCCATGTTGTCCTGGATTGTGCAATTCATTGTTTTCCATAAAACTAGAAATTTGATTCCTAATCACTCTTTCAAACACTTTTATTATGTGTGATGTTAGTGCAACTGGCCTATAATTTTTTGCCAAGGCTTTACTCCCCCCCTTGTGCAACGGAGCTATATCTGCAGATTTAAGTGCTGCTGGTATCTCCCCTGTATCCAGGCTCTTTCTCCATATTACGCTGAGTGCTCTCGCTACTGGTACTTTACATTTCTTTATGAATATTGAATTCCATGAGTCAGGCCCAGGAGCTGAGTGCATAGGCATATTATCAATTTCTCTTTCAAAGTCTTCCGAGTTTGTGGTAATATCCGTTATATTATCTGCAGCTTGAATGTCATTCATAAAGAAGCTGTCTGGGTCATCAACTTTCATGTTGTTTATTGGTGTGCTAAACATAGCCTCATACTGGCTTCTTAGAATTTCACTAATCTCTTTGTTGTCCTCTGTGTACGTACCTTCATTTGTAATTAACGGTCCAATACTGGTCGAGGTTTTGGATTTTGATTTTGCGTATGTGAAAAAATATTTCGGATTTTTCCTTATCTCTTGTATAGCTTTCTGTTCCAATTCCATTTCCTCAGACTCATATGATCGCTTCAACGTTTGTTCTATTTCCTCAATCTCCCTGCTTAGGCTTGTTTTCCTTGCTTGTGATAGTTGTGTCTGCCGAAGCATTTCCGTTATTTTTTTCCTTCTCCTGTACAGTCGTCTCCGTTCTCTTTCTAGAGTGGTCCTCTTTCTGCCCCTCCTCACAGGTACGTGCTTCAAGCAGACCTTGTAAGCTTCAGCTGTCAGTTGAGCTATTCCCTGTGTGGGAGTTTTGTCGCTTAAGACCGTCTCCCATTGAATGGTTGCAAGGTCTACATTTATTTTTTCCCAGTCAATCCTCTTATTGTTGAAATTGAATTGATTGAATATTCCTTCTCGCTTGTTGGGTCTCTTAGACCTACTACCGTTATTTATGCTAGTTCGCACTTCAATGAGCTTATGGTCTGAGTATGAAGTATCTGAGATTGTGATATCCCTGATTAGTTCATCATTGTTTGTGAATAACAAGTCTAGTGTGTTTTCGTTCCTAGTTGGTTCTGTAATCTGTTGATTGAGCGAGAATTTGTCACAGAATCTCAAAAGTTCTCTAACCTGTGGTTGGTTATTTCCCGGGTCATTCCCTGCTATGATATTTGTGTTTGCCGTTCTCCATCTTAGACTCGGTAAATTGAAATCTCCAAGAAAGATAATATCTGGAGCTGGGTTTGCTAGGTTGTCAAGTATGTTCTCTATTTTGTGCATCTGTTCTGTGAATTCCTCAATCGTTGTATCTGGCGGTTTATATATTAGAATAATAATTAGGTTTAGTTTCTCTACCTTCATTCCAAGTACCTCTACCACCTCATTAGTTGAATTTAATAGTTCTGTGCATACCAGGTCTTCTTTAATATACAGACCTACTCCTCCATTTGACCTAGTTTTTCTATCACATCTATATAGATTATAATTTGGAATCCAGATTTCACCATCCATGTAATCTTTTGTATGAGTTTCCGTGAATGCCCCAAATATTGAGTTTGACTCTAATAGAAGGCCATTTATGAACTTAACTTTATTTCTTGACTTTGGCTTTAAACCTTGAATGTTTGCAAATATGAATGATTGTCCATATTGTGTGTCACTTCTGGAAGGTTTTGGTAGTTCTCCCTCCTCTCTACCTTGACCCAGGGTGTGTTGTTGTGGCAATGGTTTGTCCAGTTTTGGAAGTGATACTGGGGAGTGTGGTAGTCTCTGTGTAGTTGGGGGGTGTAGTATGTGTGGGCTTGATGACGAACTGTAGTCCAGTCTTGGGCATTTCCCCCTCTCCATCCGTACTCCTGCCACGTTTCTGCCTGTCTGTTTCTCCCTCTGTTTGTACCTGCCTCTAAAAAATTTTCAGGGCTATTATGTTGGACTTCTTCTCTTATATGGCGCTGTGTACCTCTGACGTGGAAATCGGGGCAGTGAAGATCGTAGCATTTCCTCTCATTGACTGAGAGTGTGCATAGCTTAGGGTGAAAATATCTACACTCTGTATCAAAACGACATCTGCCTTTCCCTAACCAGTTTCGGCATTTCCGTGGGTGCATGAATGAGCATTCCGTGCCTCTGGGCCCATATCTACACTGTCCTTTTGCATAATACCAGCAAATATTTTCATTTGTGATTGTATTATTCTTGTTTGTACCCGTGCACGACTTGGCTACCTCTGTGTTTTTTGTTCCAACTTTCTCGTTTCTGCATTCATTCTCGGTATTGCCCTTATCTTTCTCCTTGTTGCTTTCGTCTTTCTCATTTGTGTTCTCATTCGTCTCATTTTTTCTCTCCTTATTCATATCACCAGTGTGCTCTACAATATTGCCTTCATTTTTGTGTACCTCGACACTATACCCTTCTACATTGCTACTTTGACTCTCTAACTTCTCAGTCCCTGGGTTGTGTTCAGAGTTCGTTGCTGTCTTTATATACTCTGCATATATTTCTGGTAGTTTTTGTGTGAATTGTAGCCTGTGTACTTCAGGAATGTTATTCATTAGTTTGGTGATGTTTTCCCACAACTGTCTGTCTCTTTGACAGATCCAGTAGTTACCTTCCCGGTTTGCATATTGTGTAGGTAATCCTGTACAACTCAGGTGAAACCTTATGTTACAAATGTTACATACAATGCCTACAACACTCTTCCGAACTATCGCTTGCTTATATTACCGGTCCACACCTTGCCTGACTATCCACTAGCAGGCTTGGGAAGAGTTATTAACTGGATACTTGGGAAAAGGTGTTAATTGTAATTAGTGGACTAAGTGGTATTAATAGACCCATCTCATTATCTGCACATAAGCTAATGAGAATATGGAGCAAGTATATTACTGACATAATATACTTGCTACAGACCACTTGAGTAGGACCACTAAAATCCACCGGAGCCTGCTGGGTCCCTAAGGAATGATCAAGCAGGAAACACTAGGTACAGGGACCACTCCCCAAATATAATATAAAAACAGCCTAAGGACAGTGGCAGTTGTTAACAATTTCACAGGTCCGGTGGATGACCCGCCACACACCGCAAGATAGGCGACCTTTGGCCGTGAACGCACAAAGCACACACAAATGTTTAAACTCTCTTCAGCTTTGTCACCTCAATTTTTGTGCTACGTCATTCAGTTTGGAATCAAATTGTTCGCAATATCATGGCATGCTTTTTAAAACCAGTCCCATAATATTCAAACAATAAATGAAATTTGTACAAATTTTGATGCCGTTTGCGTCATCGGGCCCACTCCATTTTTTGGTTTTATAATGTCGACACCGTCATCGGGCCGCAAGAACGTTAAGGGCATTGGTGGGGTGCTGTGAAACTGAGCACATGAGTCCCCTGTGCTACCCTCATATGAAACTCCCAACTGCCCCATCCACAAAGCCATGCAGAGGAGTCAAAGACCCATGTACAGTACTTCTAAGGACGAGGCACCTTCCACAGGAAGCTGGCCTCTCAGTGACAGCCATCCAAACCCACCAGGGAAAGCAATCCTGGCACCAGCGAACACCTAGAAATGATCACACTAGGCAAAAGCAGTTTCATGTGAACAGTAAATGGGAGTCAACATAAGAAGTGTGACAAATAAATATTCATTGTCAAGCAAATATTAAAAACCAGAACAAATACAAAGGCAAATGATTTCTGCAGGACAAACAGTGTCCAGGATTGTCACCATTTACATGAAAAACCACACTCAGAGTTGTGCAGAAAGAGGAGTCAAGCAAAATGACTAAAGTGTCAAGTTTAGAGGATCATGGACACAATGTGCCGTCCCCTGGTGGTTTGCTGTCACAACTAATGAGAGAGATGTTTCGTTAGCAAGTGGTTCGTATATTTCATGGATTCATCGTCTCACTTTCTATGCTTTGTTTACCTTGCCGATGGCATGTTTTAGCCGGCTCGTCTTTCCTGTGGTCTTTTCCTGGTTAGGGTGATCTTGTATCCCATGTTCCTAAAGCCTGGCTGCCTATTTAGAGGGCCAGGTTTCTGGTCCCCAGTAGGCTTACAATAACTTGCAAGGGCCTGGTATGGATGAGAGGTGGAGCTATCCAGGCATCTAGCACCAATGAGCCTCTTATAGTCCTCCCAAAAATATGATTTACATAATTTAATATGTATATGATATTTTATGGTTGAATCCTATGCAGAATTGTAGGAGATGCTTTGGAACTACAAGGCATCAAAATTGTCAAGAAGAACAATCTTTAGGGGAAATAGAACGAATAAGAATTAATAGTATCTCATTTGACAAAGATGGGTAAATCAATATCTGTATATTCTTATATTCTTAATAACAACAACAATACTAACCAAGACATTGATGATCGCCGTGGCACCACAAGCTGAGGTAGCAATCTGTGTCACTTGTCGTGCTGAAGCCTGGAGTTCAGTCCAAATCATGACTTTTTTCACTCTTGGGCAACTTTCCTCTCCTCCGCCTTCACCCTCACTTGCCTATTGAATTTGACAAAAAATAGTAAAGAGCTGTACACTTAGGGTAGGAGCATGTTAGCATCCATAAGATTTCCATTTATTCAGACCATAGCTTGTCAAGAGTGGTGATACAGACTAGCATATCTTAGGATACAAACAAAGTGAAGTAATAAGCACAGGCTGTAATGGGGAGGCAAGTGGTGGTGGTATGGCATACAGGGGTGACTTGTCTTTTACACATTTAACCCTCTTTTTCACATTTCACATTCACAATTTCACATTTAATGTCTTTTTCATATTTAACCCTCAAACCGCAAGTGGTCCAAATGACTTCAACGCCCACAGGCGCTACAAAAAAAATCCAAAAAATTCTTTCGTCTTATAAAAGTGTTCATTTGTGTTCCCTGATCACGGAAAAAATAACAAAAAAATCGTAGGTGGCATATTTTAGCTGCAATAGGATAGGGAAGTCTGACAAAAAACCAGCGTTGACTGTAATGAAACGCCATTTTCTGGGTGAGACCCGGAGGCTCCCATGAGCTATACCAGGCTGATATGCTAATGTCATACATGGTTGATACCTGGTTGATGGGGTTCTGGGAGTTCTTCTACTCCCCAAGCCCGGCCCGAGGCCAGGCTTGACTTGTGAGAGTTTGGTCCACTAGGCTGTTGCTTGGAGCGGCCCGCAGGCCCACATACCCACCACAGCCCGGTTGGTCCGGCACTCCTTGGAGGAATAAATCTAGTTTCCTCTTGAAGATGTCCACGGTTGTTCCGGCAATACTTTCGCATCAGTCATGTGTATGGAGTTCTAGGGCCTACCGGGTACCACGGCCAGAACCTGGCCCCCTTAGAGAGGCAAGGGAAGCAATGGCCTATAGAAATCCCCGTGTGGTTGGAAGCATTCTATGTCTGCCATCGACCGGGTCAAACATCCAGAAAGGTAAGCATCCCAAAACAAACCCCTATTCTGGTAAAAATTGCTACCAAAAGCCGAACTAGGGGATAGAACTCCCCCAACAGAAAACAAGCAAACAAGTATGACATCACACGTCACCGCGCCACTGTCTGCACAGCTCCCCCCTCCCAGGGAGGGGGAAGGGGGAGCCCCAGACCTCTCACGCTGGCTATCCACCCATCAGTTCTGAGGCTGGAAAAACTGCCGACCGGAGGGAGGGAGGGAGGGAGGGTTGCCGGGAAGCCTCCAGGACTCACCCAGTAAATGACGTTTCATTACATTCAACGCTGGTTTTCTGGGGGGAGCCCTGTCGGCTCCCCGGAGCTAACTACCCACAGAGGAAGGTCAAAGGGACGGATCCGGGAGGCGAACACCGCGCACCCCTCAGCGGAAAGCGAGACAACTGGCTGCAACCGCCAACCCAAGGCGACACAGGCCAGAACGAGCCCGGGAACGACACGAGACAACGAGCAGTCAGGCCCCTGTCGACCGCCAAAAAGTCCCGTGCCCGAAGTCAGCAAGGACACGCCGCCAAGACGGCAGCAAGAGCAGCGAAACCAGGAACGCCACGGGCAAAGAACACAGGCAGGCTAACCGCAATAACACGGCGGACGACCCGGGACACCTTCTCCCGCGAACAGTGAAAAACGGAACCGGATCAACCGAAAGCGCGCCCAGGACACAAGCCGTGGCGCCCAAATAACAGCAGAGGACCGCAACTGAACACAAAACACGACGCACCCCCGGCCCGACCAACCAAGCACCAACAAACCAAGGACACCCCCCTGGAACGCTGCAGCCTCACCCCGTGCCAGAAAAGTGGGAGACAGCTGCAACCAAACAAACCAAACGCCATGACCGAAGGAGAGCAAGAAGCTCAGCGACCCGAGCCCTAGAAGCAAGCGCCAACAGGAATAGAGCCGTCAAAACAAACCCGAACTGAAGGGGCCACCACCAACCGAGGAGAAGAAAGAGCACGCTGTTCAGAGGCCAGAACGGCCCAAGCAACGCAAGAACACGCCGGAGGTGAAACAACGCACGAGACAACCTACGAACGGCGCAGATGTAATACCAAGACCAAAAGCAAGCCGAAGCGGCACTGCCAGCACCGCACGAAACGAGACGACAGTATGCGGCAAGTCAACGGCCCCCAACCCCCACCAGAAAAGCCAAGCTGACGCCAACAAACACAGCCACCTAAGAAGACACAGAAGGAAAAGGAAGGACTGCCAAATTACCCCATACTGCCGCCAAGAAAAGCACGCAGGTTGGACACCAACTACGAAGCCACTCGACCACCTACCAAAGGTGAGACTTGAAGCAGAACCAAACCAGTCCCGTCCAGGTTGATCCAAGCCTAGGAAGAGGTGGAGCGGCGGGAAGATCTCGGGTGCAACCACCGAGGAGGCAGAGCCGGAAACCCAAGCCGGCAAAGACACGAGATGGAACGTCTGTCGAACAGAACATCCCCCCCCAACGCGAGCGAGCTCACCAGGAAACCGGAAACCACGAGCCAGACGCGAGACCCCAGAGAAGGAACACTGGGAGATCTTGAAAAAGCCCACAGGCAGGGCAAGCCAGGAAAACAGGAACCCAAACCTGGTAACAGGAAGGCCAAAAGGCACAAACAAAACACACAACAGCGTGAAGGAGATGCACGAGGAAGGGAAGTGGTGGAAGCGGACCCCACACACAGCTGCAAGTGCAGACATGACAGAGCCCAGAAGATGTCAGGGAAGCAACAGGGGAGAGGCAGGATGAAAGAGCCAAAACACAACCCCAGGCACAAAACTGCAGCAAAATGTCACCCCACAATATCCCGACACAGTAACAAGTACCACATGTCACCGTGGCACACGCTACCAATGCACACGCGGACAAGCAACATGCACTACACACAACAGGCAATATGCAACATACAACCGGAAGGAATGTCTCGCAGCGAAGGCAGAGAATGGCGGAGCCTGACTCCAGACAGGAGCAAAAGTAGATACGAAAAGAGCCCAGCAGGCCCAGGAACCCGCACACTAAGTGACCGACAGTGGAGAGGCGGGACCAAGAGCCAAAGCCCAACCCCAACAAGCACAACTAGGTGAGGACAGCTAGGGGAGAACAGAGAATCCAATGTTCCATCGATGTTTGTATCTCACCTTGTAAGCATGTACATTACCTGAATGAACATCTGAACTTCAATTTGAATGTACATGGAAAAGCTAAGCCAGGTACAGCAAGACTGGCAAGGAATGAGGGACCCAGAAAGCATGGGAACAAATAACCCAAACAAGGAAGGCCCCAGGAAGAAGCACGGAAGGGCTGAACAAAACGCCACAAGCACACACCAACACGCAACCACAGCAGCAAAACCGCAGCAAAAGGTCACCACAAAACACCCTTTACACAGGAACATGTACCACACAACAGGCACCACCACGTACGCACTGAGGAACACGGTTTTGGTGGGGCCCCGAACACAAGCACAAAACCCGCTTGATACCTGCTTGATGGGGTTCTGGGAGTTCTTCTACTCCCCAAGCCAGCATGGGTGGACATGCATAGGAGAGGGACTGGATGGGCACAGTCAGGAGCCGCCCTGTATGACTAATCATCCTGCGAGATGGGGACTTTTAGTATCACTGCTACCTTATTCACTTTTGTGGTCATGATATCCTCATAATGCACCCAGAGCTGCACCCTGATGCAGAGTGGATTCTAGCAGTAAAGCATCTCTGCACGCTCTCCAGGTCAGCAATTTCTCCAGCTTTCAAAGGGGCTGTCATTGTGCAGCAGTATTCCACTCTAGAGAGCACTAGCGTCTTGAAAATATCATCATCGGTATAGCATCTCTAGTGTAAAAGGTTCTTGTTATCCAACCTGTCATTTTTCTTGCAGTTGTGACTGCTACTTTATTGTGTTCTTTAAATGTAAGGTCGTCCGACATCAGTACACCCAAATCCTTTACATTGCCTTTCTGTTCTATGTTATGATTTGACTGAGTTTTGTACGTCGTTTCCGTTTTTATATTTTCATTTTTTTCATAGCGCATGAGCTGAAACTTATCTTCGTTAAACACCATGTTATTTTCTGTAGCCCATAGAAAGACCTGATATACATCTGATTAAAGGTTTGCCGTGTCCTCTATGTTGTCTACTCTCATAAAAATCCTAGTGTCATCTGCAAAGGATGATACAGTACAGTAAAGGATGAAAGGTTGTGTCCTTGTCTATGTCCGATATGAGGACATATCGATACCCCATACCACGGGGGTAACAGTTCGAATGGAGACAGAGCACAAAGTCTTGACGACTCCAAACCCTCTGCTGTGCATGGCTGCAAACCCTCACACCATACTGTGAGCCCCATGAAAGGGAGGAGAGCAACGATACTAGCTAGCTTGGTGAGTGCTAGTCTAAGTCCCAACCTAGAATCAAGCCATTCATGAAGATGTTGAGCAAGGGAGAAGGAAGGCACCCGGGAATCAAACCCCCAAAAAACCAGTGTTGAATGTAATGAAATGCCATTTTCTGGGCAAGCCCTGGAGGCTCCCCGAAGCTATCCGAATTGATATAATGCTATATTAGTTTGGGGTCATCAGTCACAGGAGTCCTTTTGCCTACCAGGGACCACGAGCCAGAACCTGGTCCCCTCAGAGGTGCATGGAGCAATGGCTTATGAGTACTTTACAGAATGTCATAATTACCATCAACTGGGAAAGGCACCCAGAGAGATTAGCCAAACAAAACAAACCATCAATCTAGTGAAATTGTGACTTACGTCCAACAGGAGCAAAAGAACTCTCTTAGGAAGAAAACAAACAAGCGACACTTCATCCAACTAACACTCCCGTTCGTTAACATTACTCCCCCCCCCCGTCCCTGAAGGGGAGTAGCACTACCGTTACCCCCATCGGGTCCTTCCTGAAGGAATGACGCGAGAGCAGGAAACCTCCGGAAAGACGATCTTGATGGGCCCAAGACACACAGAACTGAATCCTGGGTTTAACTGTTGACTTTCCCCAACCTTGGGGTTGGGGAAAGTCAGACTTGGGAAAAGTTGCATTAAAATCACACTCATACAGGTAAGGAAAATGTGAAATCCCTCCTATTGCAACAGGAGACCCCTCCTCAGAGAGAACAATGAACCACCTGGAGTCAAAACAAGACCCAAGGGCCCATATCAGACTCCTGCCAAGGCCTGGAAGCCACACTCAAGGACCCTGGGGTGCCCTTGGAGCTGGCATCCGTCCCTACCACCCTGGATAAAAAAGTGGAGTCCAGGGTAGAGTTTCAGAAGAGTGGGCTTGTCGTGAAGGAAAACCCGAAACCTCGGTGGAACTAGCCGGCTCAACTGCTTTTATGCCCAATTTGAAATGGGTAAATCCAGAGCTGGCAAGTCACAACCTCTGCTAAACCCTGACTCAACCCAGAAACTGGAGGTGGGGAGGCCCCTTTCTCCCCTCCCCCCAGACGAGTCAGGGAGGTGGCGTGAACGAGCTCACACTAGTTTCGAAAGATTTAATCTTTTGTTAACATAGTTGGGCAAGTTCATTAAGTGGGTCGTGAGGCTTCTTGTCTCTCTCTGCTTCCCCAAGTGCTATATAGTCTTAATGGATTGGCACTCTTCTCCTGATAATTTCCCCCTTCCTTCTTAAACCCAACACTGGTTGGTTTTGACTCGCTGACTTTGAGTGCCTTTCCTGGTGGGGTGGCAAAATGTCACTGCTCCCTGTGCATTTGTGAGGAGATGGCCAGGTTCTGGCTCTGGTCCCTGGTAGGGCTAAGAACTCCACAGGTGACACAACCTGGTAGACGGGAACCATCTAAGTGTACAACTTCACAGAGCCTCAAGAGAAATATACTTTATAAATATATATTCCCAGAAAAATATACTTTAAGTATTGTTCAGATACTGTAGTATTGGCTAACTAGAAAAGTGACTATGAATCATGTCTACCGTTATTGTATAACTGATTATTTTCAATAATTTTTGGGAGACAAAGTTTAGTATGGACAAATAAGGCTAACATATATGAGGTTGTTGCATGCAGCACACACCGTATTTGGATCCTGCATGGGATTTGTGTTCTTGGGTCGTAAGGATTTAACTGGAAGTGGACAAGGAATTCCACCAGTTCCTATCACAGTGCAGGTGGTACTTCCTGTTGAAGTCATCAGAAGGCTAGCCAAGGGAGGCATGCCTGACGCGTGACTGACTGGAGTTGGTGCTGCTGGAGCGGGTGTCACGCCTGCACTTTGACCCCTACACCCTATACTGCTGTCTGTGCTGGCACCACCTGCAATTCCATGGCACCCTGCATTTCCACCCTGAAATTTAACAAAATACAAATAGATTTCCTTCAAAGAAGAAGAGTACAGAAGCATTAAATTACAATATTATAATATACAAGATTTTTTTTAATAAATTACTTAGAACATATAAAGTACTGTATAAATGACAAATTTTGTTTTATACTTTTTAATATAATACAATACACAATGGTGAAGAACTGTGAGTGTCAACCCCCTGCAATGACCCATCAATAAAGGAAAGACCGAGGAAACAATGTAAGAGGACACTGACCCGTTAAAAATTTGCCTTCTAGATGAATCGATCAAAGTTTAACCACTCGTATTTTATATTTTATTTTATTTTTTATTAACATTTGCAGAATATACAAAAGACCCCTGACTGTGATAAAAATTACCAGGATTCTCACAATAGCAAGATCGCAGTGATAATTAGTATTGTGTGTAGTATGGTGGGAGGAGTAATCTTGGCGAGGGAGGAAGGTAGTGTTGTCTCCTGACTCAGTGTGGCAACCTGTTATTGTCTGAACTCACCATAACAGCTTAGTGGTTCACTATGGTGAACACAAATGTAGATACAATGGTACCTTGATAAACAACTGCCCTAGAGTACAAATTTTTTGGTATATGACATCAAATTCATCATAAATTATGAATTGGTGTACAACGTTTTACTTGAAAGACGATGTCTGTTAATATGCGTATGGGTCAAACGAGCGTGTGGTGCTCGGGGCGAGGCACTCTCAGTTTGTTTAACAGTGTATCCCGCGAAGTGATGACTGCGCTTCAATTCTTTATGAAGAATTTAATTGTTTTTCTGCTTTTTTTTTTAACAAAAGTTCTTATTATATATAATGCCATGGGTCCCAAGAAAGTCAGTGGTAAGGTTCAACCTAAGAAAACACATGTGAGGACCATAGAGGAAAAACAAGAGATCATTCATAAACATGAAAATGGTAAGAGGGTTGTTAAAGTAGAGAAGAGGATGTCCCTTCCTCATTTATCAAGAAAATGTGTGCAGTATGGGAAGAATTGCAAAGTTTTGATGAAAAGTGTCACCCAAATCAAGCTGTAGCAGGCCGTTGTGTTAACCTTTTTAACCCTTAAACTGTGCAAGGTGTATATGTACGCCATGAGTAACATGTCCCACCGTGCGCATGGCGTATATATACGCCAAAGGGTGCCAGGCACGATTCAAACGTCCCGCGGTGTAAAGGGGTCACCCATACCGTAGCCAGGGGCGATTGTAAACAGACGCCATTTTGAAAAAAAATCTAGAGCAGGCCTCCTTTGTTTCACAGGCCTTAGTTAGTGGCCAGACACCATGGCGAGCACATCACGACTCAGCGTGCGACCTCGCTCACCACGCCGCGCAGACTTTGACCGAAGACGAAATTGCAGATGAATTGTTCAAGGACGTTGACGAATCTGATATTGACGACTCAGATATGGATGAAGATTATACCCAGCCTGAAGAATAGAAACAACGGATAGTGAGGGGGAACATATGGGTGCCATGAGGGTGAGGATGCCACACGAGTTACCCGCTACTACTCAACACCACTCAACACCACCTCGTGCCCAAGCACGTTGTTCATCTGTACCATTGCAAGTTTATGATATGATCGACGAGTCTGAAACAGGTGAATCTTTCTCAGGTTTTAGTGATGAAGAATCGGAGAATAGTTTTACCCCAGCTGCTAGTGCCAGTACAAGTTTCGCCGCATCAGCTGCCCGCCCAGCCAAGCGCCGCCGCATGGAACAATATGGCGACAATGAGGAACAAATTCCCTCATGTTCCAAATCTTTTTCCTCATCTACCCTTCCTGCCCCTACTGTTGCAATGCCTGCTTCAGCTCTTGGTCCCCGGATTCCTCGCAGTGGTGCAGCTAATGGCTCTCGGAAGGCAGCAGGTTTGTGTGTGTTTGTGATGGGGAAGATTTTGTTCCACAAATTCCCGACTTGACGACAGAGATGTGGGAATTACAGATCTTTTCCCTGATACTGGTGACGAAATGTGTGAAATGGACTTCTTCGATGAGCCGCTCATGGAACACATTGTTCATGAAACGAACAGACTTGCGGCCGATCTCATTGAAGGTGAGGAAGTATCAGAATTTTCACGACTACAGCGTTGGAAAGAGACAACTGTTGGTGAACTGTATGTGTTTTTCGCAATTTGCATGTTGATGAAACATTGTGCGAAACACGTAATTTCAGATTATTGGAGCAAAGACAACGCTGTTCCAACACCATTGTTCGGGAAATATATGTCCCAAGACAGATTTCTGTTGATCCTACGGTGCATTCATTTTGCAAATAATGCAGACGAGAGACAGGATGATAGGCTTTGGAGGGTGAGGCACGTGCTAAATGACCTGATTGGAAAGTTCCGAGATTACTACGTACCAGCTCAGAAGCTGGTTATTGATGAATCCCTTGTGCTTTTCAAAGGACGTGCTGCCTTCAAGCAGTATATTCCCTCAAAACGTCACCGATTTGGACTGAAATTTTTTGTGCTCTGTGACTGTGAATCAGGAATGGTGTTACACATGATACTTTATTCCGCCACAAATGTAGATATTCCTGCTAATGACGAACGTGGCTTCTCAGGTAGTGTGGTGAAGTCACTGCTTGCACCATATCTGAACAAGGGCCACATACTGTACACACATAACTATTATACCAGTCCCATGCTAACAAAATTCTTGCTTGATAATAAGACTGGAGTGTGTGGAACAGTAAAGCCAAAACGAAGGAACATGCCTGTGTTTGACACTGGTATGCAAGTAGGTGATTGCGATGTAAGAAAAAGTGGTGCAATGCTTTCAGTGCGGTGGAAAGACAGACATGAAGTGAACATGTTGACCACCATTCACCCTGGTACAATGGTAGACAGTGGCAAGGGGAACAGAACAACAAAGCAAATAATATATAAGCCAGATTGTGTGATGGACTACAGCATCAACATGCGTTTAGTTGATAAATGTGACATGATGGTGGGTGCTGTTGAGTGTGTATGGAAAACAGTGAAGTGGACAAAGAAAATGATTTTCCACCTTATTGACGTAACAATGCTGAACAGTTACAACATGTTTCTTGTGAAGACAGGTAGAAAACCATATTTCCATTTGTTTAGTTTTCAAGTTGTGAAACAGTTACTATGTAAATTTGGCAAGGACACACCTGGCATACAAAGACCCATTCGAGACCCAATATTGAACCATGCTCCTGCACCCAGGCTCGCTTACAGGGAGGCCTTTCTGATACACCAAATCAAGAAATTACCACCAACTGGAGCTCGTGCAGCAGGCCAGCGTCGGTGTGTTGTGTGTTCCAGTACCAAATTGAGGCCACAGAAACGTAAATTGGTGTTGACATGGTGCGAAGCGTGTACCGTCCCTCTGTGCCATATCGACTGTTTCGCACAGTATCAGTCTCCAGGACTACTAAATGTGTAATTCTTTGGTAAATAAATGTACATATCAAGTTAATTTTTGTGTTTATATTCAAAAACCCCCAAATACATTGAATATTTCCTGTAAATTATACCATTTTGGTGGGCATACTTGTGACACTAATATGTGAGCGCCTAGTGAGTTTATACCATTGTTATTATAATACAACGTCTATTGGTTATAATTGGAACAATACTAGCGAAAAAAAATTGTGTAAAATGACCCAAGAATACTGTAAATAATTCCGCGAAAATAAATTCGCGGCAACTCGGGCCGCGTGAGCGGCCGTGAGTGACGGCTCGGTTCAATTGTGTTATTGGTATGTATAATAGAATTTTTTTATTATTTTTCCCGTGCTCAGGGGGGACAAATTAACATGTTTAGAAGAGGAAAAAAAATTGAATTTTTTTTTCTTGCGCACAGGGGTGTAAATGTCCCCAGGACCCCTGAGCAATGTAAGGGTTAATGATAATGTGATGTCTCACTTCAGACAAGTGTTACAATGTAGGGAAAAACAAGTGTCGCTACACAGGTTTTTAGTGAGAAAAACAAGCAATGAACCACAAGCAGGTCCTAGTGGTATGCAGGCAAAATGTAGGAGAGTGTACACCCCAGAGAAGTCCTCACTGCCTGATGTTATAATGGAAGGGGACTCCCCTTCCAAACACTAACACTTCTCCTCCTCCCCTCCTCCTCCTCCTCACCGTCTTCCATACGCCAACAAGCGTCCTCATTGACGGTAAGATATACATACTGTATTGTAGCCCAAAATGACTGATATTCAGTATAAAATGTATTTTTAGGTTAATATTGTAATTCTTATTACATACATAGTAATTACTTATTACATAATTCTTATTACATTATTTCCCATAAGAAATATTATTATTTCTTATGGGAAAATTCTATTTGGTTGGCGAATTTTACGGTGTACAACGCGTCTCTGGGAATGGATGAATGGTTTGTAAACGAAGGTACCACTATTTTTATATAACGTGTGTATATAGTGTAATAACAGCAAAAGGAGTATGTTGGGAGGAGCCATTTTGGTGAAGGAGGTGGCGTCGTCTGCTAGCTGCTGTGTCACTTGCCGAGACAAAGCACACAGCTGGGAACACCATCAATGAAGCCACCTGCTCACCATAAAAGTGGAGATAGACCCCGTGTAAAAAAGACCAGACACAAAGACGTGAGGAAAAAATCGACTCGGCTACATAACGGAGAGGCCCGATCTGCTGAAGGGGGCGGAGCAGTGGGAAGACCCGCGGGTTCAGACACCGAGCAAGCAGCACCTGAAACCAAGGCTGGGCGGGCCACCAAGGGGCCAAAAGGCCTACTCTCCCTTGGAAATCTCCAAGCGAGGTAGGACCTGGAGCAACAGCAAAACCGAGGTAAAGAGGTACAGGCAACCCCATCTCAACCAGTCCTTCCTGAAGGCCACGACCCCAATGGCCTCGCAGTTGGGGAAGGGTGCCACATAAATCGGAAGATGCTGCGACCACAACCATGCGAAAAGGTCCACTCCAGGAGCCTGTATGTCTGGCAAAGACAACTGAAAGA